AGGAAAATATGATTTGCCTATATTAAAAAATATAATATAGCTACTTAATAGAGAAGCTTTTGCTCCTGCATACTTTGGATGAGGGATTTGAAATTTGGTTTATGGCAGGAAAGTTACCCTGGTGTCATGGACCTGGCCTTTTCTCTACCCTATTTTGCCAAATTCTGAGCTTCTGAAAAATTACAATTTGCACATGCTCACTCATATAGCGACACTAGAGGCTGCCCGCTAAGGATGCCAAAGACTGTAGATCTGCAGTGAGCCCACATCATCCCCATACAGTGACTGAGCGTGTGCCAACCCAGGACTGCAGGGGCTGAGCTGGAAGTCATTTAGGAGAAAGGAGTCTTTCTGGACTGCAGAAGGAATAGGATAGATTGAAATAGGAATCAGGAGCTGTGCTGAGAATAAAACAGAGCCAGTGAAAAAAAAGTTGGGACAGTACAATGACTGGGGCATGGGAAGTCATGCCTAGTGTCAAAACCAAGGGTCCATACCAAAGCCAGCAGCAGTTACCAAACTGAAGCTGGAGACACAGGGTGCCAGCTCAGAGACAAGGCAGAGGAATGGGGGGCCTGAAAAAGGGCAGGACATCAGGAACTGGAAGTAAGTGAGAGACTGGGAAAGGAGGACATGAGCCAGCAGCAAGCAGAAATGCAGGGCTCCAGGTTCAGGTAAGCAGGAGACATCCATAATAGCAGCCAGCCAGGATTCTCCTTGCTTTTCAGAAATCTTCCAGGTTCATATAGAGGCCCCTTAACCCAGGGGTGGGGACCTTTTTAGGGTTGGGAGCTGCTGACCCACAGAAAAATTGGCTGGGGGCTGCACACAAGTGAGAAGCAAAAAAAGGAAAAAAAAAAACCCTTCCTTACATGACCTCTGTCTGAGAAGAAGAAAGACACTTCCCACATTCTCCTCACGCATCAGAGCCTGGGGTGGGGCAAGCTAGTAGATTTTGTGTACTTCAGCCCTATGGTGAGGCAGCAGGCATCTGGAGCACTAGCATTGGTTCCCCAATACTGGGGGAGGGGAGCCCTGAGCCTTGGAGTTCGGTTATAGGCAAGCAGTGGCTGCATTTGGCCCCTGGGCCTTAGGTTCACCACCCCTGCCTTAACCAGTCAGAGGACTGGATGTTCTCTCCATTCAGGAGCTTTGGGGGCATGGACCTTTAAGAGTTAACCCTACACTGGACCCTTCCCTCATAACTCAGAGGAGATGCAGGGTAGCAGTTGTGGCCTGAAGAAGAATAGATGAGTTTGAGACCTGTGTTCCCTCAAAGATAGGTGCTTAGCCATGGGGGAAAGATTAGGATACAGAGAGCAGCTTTGTGAAGATGGGAAGGAGATGAGCTTGAATAAGAGGGAGGCTGGGAAGTAGGAGTCAGAGCTAGGATGAGAGGAGAGGGAAACATACAAAAGAGCTTGGGAGAAGAAAGGGAGAATGTGACAGCAGCTGGGAAAAGATAACTGAGACAAAAGATGAGGGTGGAGATGAAGACTGGTACTATGTCTACACTGCACTGCTCTTTGGAAAAAAGCTACGCAAATTGCGAACATTTCCTGTTTCTTTTTTTGGAAGAGGCTTTTCCGACATTTGGCCCATCTACACTGGGCCAAATGTTGGGGAAAAAACTCTTTTTCGGAACCTCCCTTCTTCCTCGTAAAACAAGGTTTACAGGGATGCTGAAAAAGCGCGTCTGCTCTTCTGAAAATTTTTTTGGAAGAACAAATGCATTCCCTGGACAGAGCCGAGTTTTTCCAAGATACCTCCCTGTATCCTGGAAAAACTCTGCGATGTAGACACATCCTGAGACAGGGTCGAAAGGTTCAGTCTTGTGAGAGAAAGGAGCAACATGGTCTGTACTACTAAGCAAACTGCTTTCCAGAGCCTGCAATGGAATCCACATTTCTGAGTCTCACCATTCCTATGCCTTTTAACAAAAACCTGTATTGCTTACTAACAAGGAGTGTATGGCTTACCCTCCTAGTAGTTGTCCACAAAAGGATAACAGCCTCCTAATCCCACCAAGTACTTGGGTAGATGAAGCAGTAGATATCTGTGCTTTGCAAGTAAAGATACAAATTCTGTTGGTGACAGAAGTTCAGCAATCAATATGATGCACATGATAAAACAGTGAGGATGGGGTTTTCCACTTTGCTTATAAAATCATAGGAAAATACATCATGGCTGTGTCTACATTGGCACCCCTTTCCGGAAAAGGAATGCTAATGAGACACTTCAGAATTGCAAATTCCGCGGGGGATTTAAATATCCCCCATGGCATTTGCATGAACATGGCTGCCGCTTTTTTCCGGCTCGGTGTTTTGCCGGAGAAAAGCGCCAGTCTAGACGGGATCTTGCGGAAAATAAGCCCTTTTCCGGAAGATCCCTTGAAAGTAGGAATAAGGAATCTTCCGGAAAGGGGCTTATTTTCCGCAAGATCCCATCTAGACTGGCACTTTTCTCCGGCAAAACACCGAGCCGGAAAAAAGCGGCAGCCATGTTCATGCAAATGCCATGGGGGATATTTAAATCCCCCGCGGAATTTGCAATTCTGAAGTGTCTCATTAGCATTCCTTTTCCGGAAAGGGGTGCCAATGTAGACACAGCCATGATGTAAAACAGTATTGAGGCTGCAAAGATAAGTGGTCAAAATTTAGTAAATGCTACACTTAAAGTTGACTCATGCATTATTGTGCAATCTTTAATTACATTGAGTACATGCTATTTTTCCCACAAAATTCCTGTCTTTCAAAGTAGTTTTGGGAATTTTTTTAAAAAAATATAACATATTAATTATATTCCTTCCACCACTTTGGGCTAAGCACAGATTTTTCCTATATGTTCATATAGCATTTAGTAAATGAGTCCCCAAACCTATTTTAGATCTCTTGGTGCAACCTCAGTGGAAACAATAAACAATCTTCCCCTATTATAATTATAGTCTAAATGCATCTGATACATATGATAAATAACATAGTCCAGCGTCTCACCATTAGAAAAAGCAGTAGATTAATGAATAAGGTATCCTGACAACAGATGGTTTTGGGGAAAATATTTTCCCACTTTGCTCATATATTATTTTTCCATCACCTGTTTGCTGAGTCTGGGAGCAGTAAAAAAGCCAAAATATTAATATTCCCTAACTTTGCATTTGGTTTTCTGTGATAAAAGAAGAAATACAGTATCTGGGCTGTGGAGTTTATCATCCTGTTATTGCGTATGGCTGTGTTACACCTTATTCCAAGGGCTGAAAATATACCTCAGTATATTTTAAAGATGACTTCACCTAGGTGACAGTTAGTATAACTTCTAGTCTCTCATCTCTCTCGCTGGCAGTGCGACAGTGCCATCCACTTAAATTGTCTCTCTCACCTAAAATATAGTGCAGACATAGTCTATCACTTGGGTACGAGCATCCAGGGAGCACTGGGAGAGAACAAAGGTTCAGAAAAAAGAAAAGGGGCTCAGATTGTTTAACAAACATGTGTACGAAGTTAGCTGCTTCATTTAGTTTTCCTTCACTCTTTTGCGTATATAATCATTTTTTGATGCTACATTTCCAGTTATTCATGGCTCATAAGTGGACTGTGAAATGTGAATAATATGTTAAAGTTATAAAGTTATTCCTTGTTCAAAATTTGAGGCTATTCCCTCTCTCCCCCAAGCCCCATGCTATTCAGGATAGATATATAGATATTACAGCTAATAGCTTGAATATATTTTAACATTGACAAGATTGCTATATAATGGCAGACTAGACCTTGTCCAAGTAGCAAAGCTGATAGATATAAGAGCTAACATTTCTTAACTAAGAATAACTGTAAAAATATTGCTCAGCTGGAAAGGGAGCTTTCTGGAGGATCTGGAGACCACAATTCAACAGTTCATCCCTATTCAGCAGTGCACTTAAAACAAGTATTTAATGTAGACATATGACTGAGTCCCACTGAAACACTTGCTCAGCTGCTTAGCTGACTGCTTTTCAATGCTCTGCTTCAGAGTATGTTTCCTCAGTTCTCCATAATTCAGATTTTTTAACAGTTGTACAAAACCAGAAGTTCCCAACACACTCTGGGGCACCATAACTTCTATTTTCTAATAAAATCCAAGAGATATTTCAGCTTTCAAGGTCTCTTGGGTTCTACAGATGAACAAGGAATATAATAAGGAAATCCTGTTCAATCATTTTGGCTGTAAAGTTTGTTTGGATGAAACATTGCAGAAAATTGAAGATATGATTCTCTTTTAATCTATTTGAGCGCAATAACCATAATTACCTAGGAAAAGGACAATAAAGCCAGTCTGCAGAAATGTGGGAGCTTACAGCAATCTCATTATAAGATTCAATCTCTAGAAGAAACTTTGGTTGACAGTATTAAAGAGCAAAATGTCAAGGTAGTGAAGCAGAAAGCATTAGCACATTGAACTAGCACACTGTCTTTAATTCTTTTACTAAAGGTAGTTTAATGAATTATCTTAAATGAAAGAGTTGAATCCTAGATTTTATTATTATAATCAAAGGAAAAAGTCTGTATATACCTTCTGACAAATGCATTCATTTCAAATAGAAATTCTTACATGTTACTCACCCTGAAACATGAATTCCTACTGTCTTGAACAAAGGAAGTGTCAAGCTATCAGAGAACAGTAGAAGAATAAAGACAAGGGAATGAAGGGATGATATTTTTGACCAATTAAAGCGGAGTGATTTTTTCTATTTGTATCTATCCCTTTTTTATTCCTGTATTGATATTGAATTAATTAGTAGTTATCCTTGATAGATTATATATAAAGTGAAGTTGTAATAAATTCCCAGTATTTCTGTACTACTGAGGATACAGACATAAAATCTAACATCACTCCAGGATGATTCTCTGGCGGTGCTTGAGTGCCGAAAGTCAAAGGAGCTCAATGATAAATAAATCACTAGGGCATTATGAAAGTCTTGGAAGATCTATACTTATTTTAAAGTTCTAATCTTGTTTCATTTCCTACAGATTGGAAACAATCAGTCAAAAGCTGGATGCCAAAAAGCATATTTTGCATAAAACTCCAAGAGAAATATTATTCAAAGAAGTATTGTAGGCATGTTTCCTTTTTCACATGTTGATTCTAACTGAGTGAGTAAAATATGTGTTTTCTTCTGAATTATCTGCTTCTATAAAGTCATCCTGGGTTCTGAACAATACTCTCTTCATGCATTAGAACTATTAAAAAACTATGAAGTAATATACATACAATTTCTGACTAGGTCTTTCTCAATAAAGAAAATGCTTTAGGTTCATTGTCTATATAATCTGTTCTAGAGGGAAAGGATCAAGTGACAGAAGAACAAAGGTCTGTGAGAGGAAGTTGTATGAGAGTTATTAAAACTGATTTATTGATTATTTCATAGGACAAAATCAGTGTTAAATGACACTTAATAATGTTATCCCTTGTTCTGTTGCTAATGTCGTCCCTCTCCCAAAAAGTAGGGGATGCGTCGCAGATCTGGGGTCTGGGTGTACTTCAACTGTAATTTGCTTTATTTACACATGTACATCAGTCCTGAAAGGAAATGTTTAAATGTTAAAATGTTTAAATAAATGTTTAAATGCAAAGCAATCCCTTCCTCTAGGAACCTCAGCTTAGCACCAGTGCCTGGAGACAAACTCTTCCTCAAGTCCTGACTAATCAGAGCCCCAAGAGTAGAGAATAACTTCTAACTTCTTACTTCTTGCACAGTCTTTGCATAGCCCAAAAGTAATGACACAGAAATGCCTTTCTGAAGGTACATCTACACAGCACGCTTATTTCAAAAAAAGCTACTTCAGATTTTTTCCTCAAAATAGTTTATTTTGAAATAGCACATCTACACTACAATGAAGCATTTTGAGGCTTCCCTAATGTGGACATCATACCTCGATTTAGAGCCCCAATTTAAAGCATCCTCACTACTGCTATTCTGAAATAGCTATTTCAGAATAGCAGTAGTGAGGATGCTTTAAATTGGGGCTCTAAATCGAGGTATGATGTCCACATTAGGGAAGCCTCAAAATGCTTCATTGTAGTGTAGATGTGCTATTTCAAAATAAACTATTTTGAGGAAAAAATCTGAAGTAGCTTTTTTTGAAATAAGCGTGCTGTGTAGATGTACCTTCAGAAAGGCATAGTCAAATCTTGTTTATGTGCCCCCCCCCACCCTACACCCCAAAAAGAGTGGAAGTTTATATGTGTTACAACAACTCCACCTGACAGTTTCTGCCATCACAAAATGTAGAAATGAGTGCTTAGAAAACCTCATTAAGCACTCTATTGTATTACTGAAATAAAGGACTAGAGTATTGCAAAATGCACTTTAAGGTAACAAGAATTTTCTGAACAACATAATTGGCCTATTCCCTTCTTTTGGCACTATTTATATTTCCTTCCAACTCCATTTTTCCACTGTTAATGGAGTGCCTGTTTAATCATGGCATCATTTCCTTGTCATTCTTTTTTCTGCCACCTTGCTTGAGAGGACAAGGTGACTCCACATTGTAATAATTTTTCCAGATGGTATTTAATATAAAGAATGGATCAGTTGTTATAATCTGGTTCTGTTTGTTCAGTATTGCAAGTCAGAACATAATATAGCACTTTTAAGGTTTTTAATTAACTTGTGTTTCCTATGTTTCAAAGCTTATGGAATTACAAATGTACATTTTAACATTTATTAACACTGTTGATAAATTTTTAATCTTAACATTATCATTAATTAAATGCACTATGTGGTGATCACAGACGACTAATGGTACTAATGCAACTTCACATTACTTTGATATAAAACAACATCTCATACTCCTTTCAGACCATTTCCAGGTGCTTTTTATCCACGATTACAAAGATGACATGTTAGAAGGTAAGTATAGTATATCCACAATAGTATTTTGTAATAAAACAGTCTGCAGTTGTTTTAAGTTTATATTAACTATGCTAAATAACCTGTTCATATAGGAAAAGTGTAAACCCAGAGATAACAAGACAAATGCAAACTCTGTGAAGCAAACTTGAACTCACTGATTCATGAGAGGAAGAACAGATATAAAAATTAGTGAAAGCTGCTTGCCTTTTTTCACGGCCTGATGTATTCTGCTTTGAAATCTGGAACTGCAAACAGAGAAGAACAGACGAGTCCACTTCTAGAGATAAGCTATCAGCAGCAAGACAGCTTCCCTTCTCTTGCTGCCGTCCTGCAGTTTCTCTAAAAATGCAACAGACCCTCAAAAAGGATTGAATTACCTGTGGAAACCCATTGTCAAGGCACTGTCAAATTGCTAATTTCACAATCTCAGAATGAGACTTGAACTGCAGGGAATTATGAAAAGCAGCCATCCATTTCTCTTTGACAGTTGTCAGTTCCCACATACATTATTTTGTTACTTATAAGAACCAAATACAATTTGTGTGCATTGCTATGGCTAAAAAAGGCAAAGTTAAGCTTACACCATGTCAGATACAACATCTGGGATGATGGAAATTAATATTTGCCACACATCATTGTCTCCATCAGAACACATCAATATCTGGGGGATGTATTAGAAATAATTAAAACAGTATTCTGAAATGGCTTCTCAAGAATTATCTGTTCCAATAATAGCCAGAGGTGGGACATTATTTATGTGTTGCATTGTGGTATAAAGGCATCTATAAAACACATCAGTAAGCACTGAGATCCAGATGACGTGCTAGGCAACATCGGTGATTATTTCAGAGGTTTGGTCCTAAACAGTTTTATCAGATAATAGCTATGATTTGTTGCTAGTCAAAATCAAATAGTGCCTCCACTCATTTACTGAACACATGGCCAGATCCTCAGATGGGGTGAGTCAGCACTGTCCACAGCCTTCAAAGAAACTATTCAGATTTACAGCCTCCAAAGACCTCAGACATTGGTTTTATGTACTCTGTCGGTGAAGGATTTGCTTGACTATGCTGTTTTAGTGATTTACTGGGCAAACTTTGCTTGTGAAATACAGCTTTGGATTTCATATAGACTGAGATTTCATTTAGACATGTTTTTTATCCTTGATTTGGCTTGAAGATTCAATGTATCACATTTGGCGGCAGCTACAGAACAGAAATTATTTTTAATACGTCATTTGTCCTTATTTGGATGAGTATTTTGCAAGTGGATCAAGCGCACTGCTGACCAGTCCAGTTTTATGACCTAATCCTAATAATTGCCAGGTTTCTTCTACATGGTACTCAGAACCTTCAAACTTGATTGAAGACAGAGAAATGCTGTTTCAGAACTCTCTTATTGAACCTCTGGTTCCCACATCACTATGGGTACGTCTAAACTACATGCCTCCGTCGACGGAGGCATGTAGATTAGCCAGATCGGCAGAGGGAAATGAAGCCGCGATTAAAATAATCGCGGCTTCATTTAAATTTAAATGGCCGCCCCGCTCTGCCGATCAGCTGTTTGTCGGCAGATCGGGGCAGTCTGGACGTGCCGCGCCGACAAAGAAGCCTTTCTTGATCGGCACAGGTAAACCTGGTTTCACGAGGCATACCTGTGCCGATCAAGAAAGGCTTCTTTGTCGGCGCGTCGCGTCCAGACTGCCCCGATCTGCCGACAAACAGCTGATCGGCAGAGCGGGGCAGCCATTTAAATTTAAATGAAGCCGCGATTATTTTAATCGCGGCTTCATTTCCCTCTGCCGATCTGGCTAATCTACATGCCTCCGTCGACGGAGGCATTTAGTCTAGACACACCCTATCTGTCCTGTACCATAGGACAAAATAATCACATTACAGTTCCATGAAGCTGTATCAATTACACCATTTGTATTGTTTATGCACTGATGTAACCATCATTAGGTTAGGCCTGAAAACCTGGGTTTGCAGAATATATAATAAATCCAGGAAAACAAAAACTGACCCATAAAAATCAAGATAGGTGTTTACCCTAGCTCTACCAGAAACAGTGTTAGGAAGAAACTGAAATGTAAACATGTTCCTCTAACTCAGCTTTGGCTGATAAAAGAAGACACAAGGTTGGGGGATTTTGATTCTTTTTTATTCATTTTCCAGCTTGTATCTCCAAATATATATTAATATAACATATGTAAATGAATATATACTAATTAGTTCCAGGTAATGATTCAACATAGCGATTCTGTACTTGGGAGGATAAACATGACTTGTTTGAAAATGCTTTAATCGAAGTTCACAATAAGACAGGAGGGGAAAATCAAAGGAAAAGCAAAACCTAATTTTTATTACAACTGTTTCAGCATTTATTGTGAATGACTATCAAAGCTCTATAACTCATCTGTCATATTTCTTTCTCTGCTGCAATTTACTGTCCAAGGAGGCCAGATTTGTTGTTTAGACAAATAGCTAGGAAAAAATGACATGCATTTTAGGATTTTTTTAGTGAAAGTACCACACAAAATTGGAAGATACAATTCTCAGATAGGTAGCTGTGTTAGTCTGTATCTGCAAAAACAACAAGGAATCTTGTTGCAATCTTTAAGCTGCCACAAGACTCCTCATTGATTAAATGCAATACTTAAGAATAGATATAATTTAACAAAATTGTTCCATTTAAGCAACATGTTGCTGCCATATAGGGCTGTGTTCCTCAACTTTTTTGACACCAGGGACTAGCTGCTGCCTTCCTAAACTGTTTCACGGAGATCTCAGAGAGTGGCATTAAGAATCTTTGGTTTAAGGTATGCACATACTTCAGTTAGACACAGAGGTTGTGTCTACATTGGCACCCTTTTCTGGAAATGCTTAAAACGGAACAGTTTTCCATTATAAGTATTTCCGGAAAAAGCGCGTCTACATTGGCAGGATGCTTTTCCGGAAAAGCACTTTTTCCGGAACAGCATCTGTGCCAATGCCCCGATCATCATTTTCGTGATCGGGGCTTTTTTGCGGAAAAGACTACTGGGCTGTCTACACTGGCCCTTTTCCGGAACAGTTTTTCCAGAAAAGGACTTTTGCCCGAACGGGAGCAGCATAGTTTTTCCAGAAAAACAATGACAATTAGATCGTCATTGCTTTTCCGGAAAAGCAAGCGGCCAGTGTAGACAGCTTTCAAGTTATTCCGGAAAAGCGGCTGCTTTTCCGGAATAAGTGGCCCAGTGTAGACACCGCCAGAAGGCAGGCCAGTGTCAGCTGACTCAGGCTATGTCTGCAGTAGAGAAAAATATAGCTGTACCGAAGTAGCTGATCCACTTTAAGTTCTTTTGTATAACCAGTCTCTGCCAATGGATCAGAGCTCTCCCATTGCCATAATTAATCCTCTCCCAATGAGTAGTAGAAGCTGCATCAGCTTCCAGAATTCTCCTGCCAACATAGCACACACTAGCACTTCTGACAGTATAATTTATATTGTTATGGGGCATGGAATATTCACACCTTTGAGCAACATAAGTTTCACTGATGTAAATCCCATGGGGCTTGGGATAAGGGGCTGTTTAATTGTCATGGAGACATTCTGGCTTGGGCTGCAGCCTGAGTTCTGGGACCCTCCCCCTTTGCTGGCCCTAGAGCCTGGGCTCCAGCCCAAACCCAGAAGCCTCTACTGCAACTAAACATCTCTGTAGCCTGAGCCTGCAGCAGCTGGAATGAGCCATTTGCAGTGTATATTTGTAATGTAGATGTACTGCTATTTACTTATAAAAGCTTGAATGAACCCAATTTTTTTATTACACCTCAAGGGGAGTTTTGTGGGATCACGCCCTGTGTGAATAAATCAAGACTTTTGCAGATTTCAATCTGGCACCTTTCTGGAACACTTACAAATGGGGAAAGCTTGACTTGAGTTGATACCTGTAGATGGTAAGTGTCACACTTAGGGCAGGTCTATACTATGGGGCAATTCCGACCTAAGGTACATAACTCCAGCTACGGGAATAGCATAGCTGAAGTTAACGTCTCTTGGATGGAGTTGCTACGGGGTCCCCACTGCAGGGGGTCAACAGGATGCTTTTCATTCCAGTGAAGTACTAGATTTTACAAGAGTATGATCAGCAGTTGATGTAGCAGGTCTTTTTCATACCCACTAAATCAACCTCTGGGGGATCAATTGCTGCAGCGCTGATCTCCCGTTAAATATAGACCTGCCCATAGTATCTTTACGTGAGCCACAGATGCTGCATTTCCACACCGCTCTACCCTGCCAATATCAGCCTGATTCCATTAGTTTTGGGTAATAGTGGTTCGATCTATTTTAGATCCAACGCAAATCAGGACACGCCAGGGCTACTTAACCACTTTCTTATTTATTGCAACCCTTAAGCAGTTAATACAATGGTTTAAGTTTTACAAGCCTTAAGAACAATTACTATGCAATTTAAACCTTAAATACTATAGATTCTAAAACAATTAATATAGTGCAAAGCAATGCAAAAGCACTTACTAAAAGATAAACTCTATACAATAATAAAGCCTAATTCACTGACACTTCACCCATATGCTACCTACAGTGCCAGGCAGGTCATCGTTCCATTCCTTCCTACACATAGGAACGCCACGCACTGGGCAGCCGGTGTGAAGGGCCTAATTACTTCTAGTTACATCGAGCAGGACATGTCGGTCAATCCTGACCTTTCCCTCACATCCCTCTTACTAAGCCCGATTTATAGCAAAGCAAGACTTGGTCGTTCTAACAATATTTACCCATTGATTAGTATTGTGTAGGATACGTAAAATGCCCAATGCCCCTTTTTGGGGTACATCCTGCTATTCAAGATGTTACTGCTATATGTGCAATTGATAGTTTCATGGCTGCATCTGTATTTTTTGCTTACCAGAAACAAATACCAGTAAAAGGCCGCTTGTCCTGTGTTCTTGACGTGGTCTCACGTATCATGATTAATCTGCATTGTTATGTAAAACGATTCCTGACTCTCGGGCCCTGCCTGCATGCTTTGGCGCACCAGACTTGAAACAGGACAGAAATCCACACTTTGGACAAACCAGACATCACCATTTATTGCCAAGTCAGGGTAATCCAGGCTCCCATACCTATAACATCTTGGCAACATTTTTCAATATAACCTCCTGTTCTTAAATTAATGAGATAATTTACCATTTCTTGGACTGTGTTTGCCTGAAATTATTTTCCTACTTTATGACACAACACTAAGTTGATGCAATTTACACAGAAAGGAATCAGTGGATGGTATAAGTTAGAATGGCCCTCACCCTACTTTAAATTACATCCATTTCTGCCTCCTTGGTATGCTAAATTCATTCAATTTAGTCTCTTTGATTTCTGTAGGATGGGTACATGCTGCTCTGAGGGAGTTAGAGCAGTAAGAAAAGGTAAATTAAGGTTTTGGGAGTCTAATTCTGTGCTGCCCCCATGGAGTAAAGCACAGAGGGGAAGAAGGAAAGGATGGATGTAAAGGCGGCTTTTAGTTA